GGTAATGAAATGTTACTTTTTAAAAAAGTCATTTTATTTTCATACTTAAAAAAAGATTTGTACAAAAAAAGTTCTTGCAGTGAAAGCAGCAAGTTTCAATTGTCCGTACTTTGTCAAGCACTGTGTGCTTTGACACAATAATATTATATCAGAGTTGGGCTTTATCTTCATGAGGTGAGAGGAGGAGTTGGCTTTTTTTACATTAAATAATGACACCATGTTTGATTCATTAGGAAGTTTTCCCTCTCGTGAATGCCTGTAAACTGGGAAACTTTAACAGTGCACTTCGTTGTCCAACAAGCAAGCAATTTTAATTTATGTTCAACTACTATACCTCCAATTAGCATGTCTAATATAAAAAGAAGGGCAGAGTGGCAAGTGCCGTCTAAACACCAAAAAAAACGTTGTCTAAAGTCATCAATGTCATAATGCAACAATGAAAAAGAGTCTCCTTTGAATGTCAACTTATACCACACTATTTGTGAAACTCATATAAAACAAAGGAACAAAAGTGACGTGTATGGTTTTCCCTCTCTCTGTCTCTCTCTCGCTCAGTTGGTCTTCCAGGTTCATTACGTCTTTTAGGGAGCTCAGACATAGGCAATAATAAAGAAATAAGATTTTGACTCAGACCTGTAGGCAATTCATGGTTAATCATCACTGACAGCTGCAAATATTTCAATGCTTTCTTAATAACCAATTCTCAAGTGTACATTACATTAGTTTGCTCCAAATGCCCTCAGGTGTTCCTTCGCCATGGATGTTCACACTAACAATGGTCATCAAAGAAACATCAAAATGTTGTGCTACTGAAGAGAAGACTTGAACAAACACAGAAAAGTCAAATGCTTGTGGACTGAAAACTAGTACCGCCAAGTACAGTACCTTCAGATAGACAAAGTAAACAAGGCTAAATCCCACACCATATACTGCATGTGCCATGCCCAGGACATAAACCACAATGGAAGGATACGTTTTACATAGGTACCTAATGATGATTAACTAGACATTTCCTTAGCTTTTTGATTATTACTATTTCTCTCTAAAGTCAATGTTGACTATAGCAGTCAGGTACTTGATGCAAGAACCTTCTGAGGATCCAATCATTCCTTATGTAGTATCTAGCTGAGACTCCAGAATAACAGCAGATGAGATTAACCAATGCAATCTCAATGCTGTTTCCTTTTTAAGGAATTCAAAAGCTGTCATTACTTTTATTCTGTAATAGGGGCCAATTAGTATTTTAACCCTATATGGACAGAACATCTTTTTGAAAGATTAGTTTAAGTGCGATATATCCAGCCCGTCCAAAGAGGGTTAAGCGATAGCCTGTAGTCCTCCATGTTACAACACAAAACTGTACATGATATGTATTACAGAATGTATGCAGCATGGTTGTTTTTTCTTTGATCTTAAAAAAGAAAAATAAAGAAAAAACATTTATAAAATAATGAACGATAAAACAGCAACACATTTACTAAACAACTAACCAACCAGGGACAATTTATTTTTAAAAATTAGCCAAAATATATCATGCATGCTGTCAAATTTTCCAAAATGGTAAAGAAAAAAGAAAAAGTACACAACATGTAAATTATTGCACACGAGAAAGGCTCCAAGTTTGCGTCAATGCAATAGTATTGCCCCGATACAGATCATGCATTCAACGGTAAATGAAAAGGGTGTGCTGGTGGTGCCAAGCACGTTGTCTTAGCCGCCACTGGACTAGCGAAACAGGGAAATCTACAAGGATGAGGGTGGGAGTGGGGTGTTATTCGCTGTTAACAGGCAAGTGATCTACCACACTCCACCGCTACTCAGTTTTAATTTCGTTGTCCAATGCAAGGTCACTGTGCCATTTTTTCATGTGTTTCTCAAGGGTGCTGTACACACTAAAAGGCATATGACAGATTTCACATTTGTAAACGTCCTTGCCCACTTGCCCGTGCGTTTTCATGTGCCGTGTTAGCTTGCTGCTCTGAGCGCAGGCATAATTGCAGAGCGCACACTTATAAGGCCTCTCACCCGTGTGGCTGCGCCGGTGCACTGTCAGATTGCTGCAGTTTTTGAATATTTTGCCACAGTACTCGCAGGTGTCACTGCGTCGGCCATCTTTTGAGCTGGGCCGACCAGGACCCCCAAGGTGTGGCGTGCTGCCGCCACTACCAGTTCCGCTGCGGCCCGAGATGCCATCCAGGTCCCCTGGTGGCGTAGAGAAGCGCAGGCTTCCATTCTCTGAGGAGTGCTCTGAAGACGAGGCGAAAGGCGATTGTCTGGAGTCCCCGAAATTCAGAAAGGGGTCCTTCAGCTGCCGAGAGGCAGCATAGCCAGCCAACCACTGGGAATAGACATTCTCAGTGTTGGGGATTGTAGAGGTGGAGAGGTCAAAGTCCTTCTCCAGCTTGATTCGTTTGGAGAAAGGACTACGTGAGCTGGGACTGCCCAGTAGGAGCTTCTTGGACAAACCAACAGAGGCAGACTCACTGGGGGATGAGCCTCGACCATTGATAGCTGAGCCACAGCCCTCATCCACTCTGTCTGATTCCAGAGCCGAGTCCTCATCACACATGTCCCTATGTGCATCATTGTCAGAGTTTAGGGCTCCTCGCTTGTGTTGATGAAATGCCTCACTGTAGTGCTGCATGCTGGCTGCCAAGCCCATGCCCTGCATAACCTCAGGCAGTGAACGTGGGATCCCGTCCTCACCCCCACCCAGACGTCTGCCGTTGTTCTCGTGGTGCCGTGCAGCCTCGAGGTTGAGGCTGAAGTGGTAGTTGTTTCTACCTCCCTCTCTCTCCAGCTCCTCCTCCTCTCCTTCCTCCTCTTCCTCTTCCTCCTCTTCTTCCTCCTCCTCCTCCTGTTCCTCTTTCTCTTCTTCCTCTACATTCTCTGGAATCAGACGGTTGTTTTCACTTTTGAATTTGGCTACCACGGACTTGAGGGCATTACTGGC